ACATCCAGATCTTGTGAATTCTAGATCTGACCTGCCAAGCCTTTCATAATACAGCCCATCTTGAAAGATGTTTACATATATGAAGAAGCAGTTGTGTGAACAGAGCAAATACTCTGAGAAATTGGGCATAACAATTAGATTTTATGTCAAATTTCACTTGTTGAGGGGTGGAATCCAACCTATTAATCAGGTCATAGCCTCTTTGCTATAAAAGAGAAAGTGTGAACTTCTTCTGTGGGGGGAGGTCAGATCCTTGCTGCCAGACTGTTGTCTCATCCCACCACGAGGTAGGCCTGCTCCCTGCTGCTGGAGACAATGGACAGGCTCCTGTGGGCGGAGCTCACATCCTACTGATAATGGTCTCTATCAGTTGGGCCAGGAACAGGCCAAACTGGCTCTGTCCCTCCTCTTCCTATTGCATGTATGTCCCTAGACCACCCCTTCTCATTGCTATGTAACCTATAGTGCAGCCCCTCCCTGTGACTTTTGTCTCTAACTGTAATTAGTGGGCTGGCATGCCCCCAAAGGTATATAGGCATGGGTCAGCGAGAGAGACTCTCTCCTTGCTGCTCACTCCCTGGTCACTCCCCTCTATTCCCCTTCTCCCTTGTTCCCTTGCCCTCCTTCCCTTCCCCCTCTCTCCACGTGGACCACAAAGCTGGGCTGAGGTAAGCAATGTTACCATGTAATGTGTCTGACTGTATTATTGTATTCTCTTATGCTCTCGATGACTTTATTATAATACTTATATATCTCAACCGTACAATTGTGCATTACTGAACCCATGGGTAGTATTATTAGTATTAGTAGCAGCGGGTGGGGGCTGGCCCCTCACCCCCCTCCTCAACATTTTAACTTAATACTACATTCTTCCTCTTTTGTCCCTTTACCTTGCTCAGACCCTATGCCTACCTCTAGGGGTAAGTACAGTCTCATGTAGCTGCAAGACCCTGAGAGCTGTCAGTGTCTGTTCTCCACTGACCTTGAATTCATGTACCTCTGCACCACTGGCCTGTGATCTTCCTGCTCTATTTTATCCACCATCAACCTGTAGCTATGTGATTCTGAAGAGGGCTCCAGCTAGCACTGGACCCATGAACTTAAACTGGACTAGGCTTAGATGCCTTCTTGATATATTACTTCTTAATATAAATCTCTTTCTTATACATATATGTGAGTATGAGGGTCATGGTTTTGTTTCTCTAGAAACCCAGACTAACACATTGGATTATATGAAAAAGTATGAGGGATCAAAATTAGAGGAAGGCTCCTTAACAGCCTGCGATAAGCAGATGACACAATCTTGGTCAGTAAAAGTGCTGCTTACTTGCAGCACTCATTGATGAAGATCAAAGACCACAGCTTTCAGTAAAGATTATGATTCCAACATAAAGAAAACAAAATTCTCATAACAAACTAGACAAATAAGCCAGATCATGGTAAATAGATAAGATTGAAGCTGTCAAAATATTTATTTGGATCCAGGATCAATTTTCATGATAAGAATATTCAAGAAATATTGACTGAAAGCAGAACACAACAGAAAGATATTTCCCTCTGTTTTATTAATTATACAGAGGTATTTTACTGTTTAGATCATAAGCATTATAAGTAACATTGTAAAAACCGGCACTCTGAGAACAACTTATATTTTCCTCATGTATAACATATACATAGAACAGGAAGTAGTCATTCAGAACAGAACAGGATGATATTGTATGGTTTTACATCAGAAAAAGTGTCACAGACTCATATGTGTGTCATATTCTTTCATCATATGTATTCATTCAATATGCTGAACAAATAATCCAAGATGCTAGACTATGTGAAGAACAAAGCATAGAGATTGGAGAAGATTAATTAAATAACTTTTTATATGCAGAAAATAAGGAGGAACTTACTAATGAAGTTCAAGGACAACAACCTAAAGAATGAAGTGTACCTTATGTAAATAAAACAAAAATTCTCACAACTGGATCAATATAATGAGAAACAGAGAATAGCTTGAAATGTCAAGTCTTTCATTTTACTTAGAGCCACAATCAACAAATATGCAGTCAAGAAATCAAATGACATATTGAATTGAGTAAATCTGCTACAAAGTACCTGTGAGAGTTACATATCTGTTGTCAATTTGAGTGAAGAGGTGGAGTTCAGCCAGTCAATCAGGTTGCAGCTTGATGACCTCATTTGGAGGTGCTAATGAGATAATGTATATATTCGTGTGTAAGCCATGTTTTTCAGGACATTTTTGATGCAGTTTTTGTGGTAAAATTAGGTGCCTCGGTTGATATTAGGGTCAGCTTATAGTCGAGTATATATGGTAAATAGCTCGCAGGAGGTGGGACACATGCTCACTCCCTGAGAGATTCCTGTTGAGAAGACACCTGGAGCTATGCTAGAGTCCTGGAGCTGAAGAAGCCACCTGGAAACCCCTGCGAACACTGAGATACTTCCTCTGCCACTGAATATACAAGATTTTCTACCCACTGGCCTGTGATCTTCCTGCATTCAGCATCATTGCATGTGTTGCGTGAGTCTGAAGAGGAATTTATAGATTGGTATTGGACATATGGGCTACAATCGGACTTATGGACTTGATCTGGACTAGGCTGGGACGTCTTCTCAATATTCAATTGCAAAGTAGGATATGCCTGTCCCAAGCCCCAAGGTATTTCAGTTGCCCCACATGCATACAAAAGCTAGAAAATGAGTAAGAAAGACCAAAGGAAAATAGATACATTGAATTGCAGTGTTGGTGAAGAATACAGACATGGAATGCCAAAAGTATGAGCAAATCTGCTGTAGATTTAGTACAATAAGAATGCTTCTAAGAAGAGAGGACAGTGAGACTGCATCTCCTATTCTGGATATGTTGTCAAGAGGCATTATTCTTAGGAGGGCATTTGGCTCCATAAAGTGGAGGTTCAGTGAAAAATGGGTACAGTACCAAAAAGATTTACACAGTGCCTTTAGTCATGGATTCAAACATATCAAGAATTGGCAAGGATGGTTCAGGACCAGTATAATGGTTAGGGATTAGGTCAATTAAAAACTCCTAGTGGAGTTCAAGCTACTAAATGTCTCACAGCCTGATGACAACTCCATGGTTATCATGAGCCTTTTTGTATATGAGAGAGAGACTTAGAAGAGTCAAATTTTCTTTAGTCCTTTGCCTTCTGCTAGAGCTGGATCTTTTATCTGGTTCCTTAGTCTCCTACTGCATCATCTGCAGGTCCAAGGAGCCAACAGCGGACTACAGACAATGGACTTGTTCAGCCAATTTTAGACCTCTGCATCTACCAGCCTGTGCCTCCTGCTGTCTCTGCTTCCTCATCCTACTTCCTGTTCATCAGCTTCCATGTGTCAAGCCTGACCTGAACTAGACTGGACTTAGCTATTTCTACAACTGTTTAAGCCATTTCTTGATATAAATCTCCTTCTGTACACAACACATACAACCATCACTGGTTTGTTTCTCTAGATCACTCAACCTATTGCACATAGGGTTGCTGTGTGTTGGAACTGACTGAAAGTACCTAAAACAATAGAAAAATACATTTGTATGCCCCAGAATATACATATATGAAGGAAACAATTCCCGCTCTTATAATTATGAATTAGGAGCCCTGCTGGTGTGGTGGCTTACATATTCGGGAAAAGACTGAGCTTTCTACTCCTGAAGACAGTTAGACTTGGAAACTCACAGGAGGTTACTATAAGTCACTAGTGATGCAAGAGCAGTAAGTTTGGTTTGGTATTGTGAATTGTTTTGGTTTTTCTATTCTGGTCTTTTTGTTTGCTTATTTAAAGGGAATGAATAAGGTATTGAGAAAGCTGGTCCTAACTTATAGTTTGGAAAATATTGCCAATATTGAACAGTCCTTTGTATGTGAGTTCTGGAAAGAGATCGATAGATTTCAAATCCTAGACAAACTACTTAGCTTCTATGTGTTTCATTTTTTCATGAATAGAATAACCCTATTTATCGCAATGGGTTTAGGATATTAAAAACTTATCCATGGATGAATAAACCAGATGGAGCCTAGCTATCAGAAAGAATAACACCTAGGGTCTTAAAAGATTGTCTTAAAATAAGCAGACATTTAAGGGTAGTGGGGGGGGGAGCTAAGCCCACATGGAAGAAGCACACCAGCTTGTGTGATTCAAGGATTGAAAATCGTAAAATCCAAGATCAGAAAAGTAAATTTAATTGTAATTAGAGCTTAAACTGAGTACTGATTTACAGAACGCTAACCCAAAATTCATTTGCATAGTACCCACATAGGTTAAGTCTCCAATTAATTTTCTCTGGCCAGGGATATGAACAGCCTTGCCTTCAAACAGAATGCATCAGAATTAATGCAGGTAAGGTTTGGATAAATTTTACATCTTACCACTTGTTTTCCCTTTTGACCCATTTTTAATTTTATTATTTTCTGCTGTGTGATTAAAGTTTTTGTGTCTTATTTTGTTAATATTATTTTTGTCGGGATTCTACTTTTGGATGATTTTCTTGATATGAAATCCAGGATAGGTATCTATAGAGGCAGTAACTAGATTCACAATTTCTTAGGGTTATGGCAGGGGAAGTTGGGGGGAACTGGGGAGCTAATAACGATATGTACAAAAATAAAAAGAATGTTCTAAAATTGACTGTGGTGGTGATTGCACAACTATGTTCAAGTCATTGAATTGTATTGTGGATGTATGTGAATTATATGTCAATCAAATAGCTTAATAATGTTTATTCATGGAAAGTGTTTAAATTGTCTTGGGAAAAGTAAATGCTCATTAAATGTATATTATTATTTATGCAGTTTTTGTAATTCAGTTCAAATGCTAAGAATATAGGTCAAACATGTAAGAGAGTTTTAAAGTGAGCTGCAAACACATAAAACAAAATACTCTGAAAACAGACTAGGAAAAAAGATGACCATAAAATTTTCAATTACTAAAAATAGTCAATTGTTCAGCCATAGCGTCATGTACCTGCTTACCTATGATGTCATTTCTCATAGCTTCTGTAATTGGTATTGGCTTAGCAGCATCAGGAGATATATATCTGGTAAAGGTATTCACTGCGTCTTGTTCAATACCTGCAAAAAATGAAAAGAACAATTTTAAAAAACAAAAAGCATAGATTTTACAATAAAAAATAGGAGTAGCTAAAAACAAACAAACTGAATTTCATCTAAACTGAAGAGTGTTGAACACCAAAAAATGTTTGGAACAAAGTGAAAATACAACTTACAGATTGGGAAACAAATTTGGGAGTCCATAATTGTCATCCAGTTTTATTATCTAGAATAGAGGACTACTTAACAAAACAAGCAATCCAATCCAAAAATGGGCAGAAGTACGTTTTTACTTTGATGAATAAGTATTTTATCGAAGATATGCAAATGACCAACAGGCACATGAAAAATGCTCAATAACACTGTCATTAAAGAAAACAATCAATTCTCACACAGAGTGATCCTACTGAACTGAGCAGAATGGGCTCATACAGGTATCCAGGATCGTAAATATTTACTAAAGCAGACTACAACATCATTCTCTCTGGGTGTGACTGGTGAGTTCAAACCCTAAACCTTTCTGTTAGTACTTAAGCACAGTGCCACGAACATTTCTTCATTAGTGATTTTGTTAAATGACAAGGAGTCAGCTTAGATTCAGATACCCTACACACAACAGAAGGAAACATTGCGTGGCCTGCACCATTCCTTATAATTGTTATATTTTTGTCCAGTGTTGTAGCTACTGCGTCAGTTCATCTCACTGAAGGTCTTCCTATTTGTCACTGATCCTCTACTTTATCAAGCATGATAACCTTTTCCAGGGACTTGTCCCTCCTGAAAACACACCAGAATACATGAAAACAAGAGTTGACAAAGACATGGCTTACTGATGGGAATGCACAGTGGTAATTCAGCACTACCGTATGGCCAGAAATCCCAATTATCAGTATATATCTACAAGAACTGAAAGCAGGCAAAAAAAACAGAAACCAGAAATCTTCATAGTAGCACTATTCATTATTCACAAGTGAAAAGGTAGAAACAACTTAAATGCCCATCTAAGATGAATGGATAAACAAAATGTATATACAATGAACATATTATTCCATTAGTGAAATAGTCTTGACACATGCTACAACACAGATGAACCTATGAAACATTAATACTGAGTGAAGTAAGTCAGTCACAAATAACAGCTTTTGTCTATCCTACTCATATGAAATATCTACAATAACCAAATGCATGGTGTGGTAGTCACCTAATCTGGTGGTCAATTTGAGGATTAAAAGTGTAGGGGTGGAGTCTAGCCTATCAATCTGGAGATAGCCAATGAGACTTCTGTGTGGGCATGGCCTTCTCATGAAAATTCTGGGAAATTCGGTATTCCTTCTTGGAGGCAGGAGACACTATCTCTCTCAGTTTACTCCCTTGGAGACTGTCTACTGACAAGGCTCACACCATGGGAGACATAGCAGCTGACAAGATACATGGACCCACCTAATGCAGCCCTGGGTGCTGGAGAAGCCATGCAGAGAGCCCTGCCACCGCTGAGATCTTTCCAATGCCACTGGATCCAAATACTTTCTACCCACTGACCTGTAATCTTCTACATTCGACATCATTGTACGTGTTTCATGAGTCTGAAGAGGACTTTATAGATTGGTTTCGGACATATGGGCTAATATCAGACTTATGGACTTGATCTGGACTGGGCTGGAATGTTTTCTCAATGTTCAATTGTTCTTGTACATAAACATCTCCCATATATATATTTATAAATGTTTCTGTAGTCTACCCAAACTAACACATACAGAGACCACACTTTATTACTGACTACCCCAGCCAATCCACAGGAGAACGAGGTGGCAGTATGCTTCTGTCAAGCTGATGTTGTTCGGTATCATTAGGTACCTGCGTCACCAGGGCTCCTTCATTAGTCATTTTGTCGTCATATCCTGAAGAGTTGGTTTGGACTCACAGACATTCTATGTACTACAGAATGAAATACTGCCTGGTCTTGGGCCATCCTCATAATTGTTATGTTCGAGTGCACTATTGCAGCCACTGGGCCAAACCATTTAATTGGGGGTCTTTCTCTTTTATACTTTATTTTACAAAACATAATGTTCTTTTCCTGGCACTAGTCTCCCTTAATAACAAGTCCGAAGTACATGAGAAGTTTCACCATCTGTGTTCTAAAGAGCACTGTGGCTGTTACTTCCTCCAGACAGATTTGTTTGTTCTACCTGTCCATGGTATTTTCAGTATTCCCTGCCAACACCATAATTCAAATGCATCAATTTTTCTTCACTCGTCCTTATTCCGCTTTCCATATGAGGAGATTGAAATCTCTATTTGAGAACGAAAATATCAATGGTTTGGTTAAGTACTTTAGTACTCAAAAGTAACACATTGCTCTTTAAAACTCTGAAGCCCTCTTTTGCAGAATTATTTGATGTAACACATCGTTTGATTTCTTAACTGCTGCTTCCATGAGGTGTTGATTGCCAATTCTAGTAAAAATTACAGTCTTGGAAAACTTATAGGGCAAGTCTGCTCAGCCCTAAAGGTTTATTATGAATCAGAGTGGACTCAAAAGGCTGGTTTTCTTTTTCTTTAAAAAAATTTCTTTTAAATCATTTTATTAGAGACTCATACAACTTCTTTTTCTTTTTTACC